AGCAAGCCCTGTCCAGATTTAAAAAGTAACGCAAAAGTAACGTAACGCATTACTTTCCATAAAAAGTAACGAAGTACCGTAATTAGTTACTATTTTATGGAGTAACGCAATATTGTAATGCATTACTTTTAAAAGTAACTTTCCCCAACACTGAGAATGACTGAGTATTGAATAAAACGTATTTGTAACTTAATGAAAACGTCTGCATGTATTTGACAAATACTGCAGCTAATCCACTTCATCAGTTAAAAAAAGTAGGCAAACACCGCACGAGCGTCACTACGGATTACAAGCGTCAACTCTCGCCGATCGGCTAAATTCCAGTCAAAAGTCGAGTACAGCCGGGTACTTTTCGACTCGTTTGGTAAAAAGCGCAGTTTCCATCCGCTCCACTAGGCGGCATCAGCGAGCGACACTTTCAGCCTGAACTCCGTTAGTTCCGTCACAACAATGACGCTTGATCACATTCAAGTACAGATTCTGCAGTGACAGACTCTTAATGTCACTCAATTACAGCCCGCCAGCAAACAACGCGACACAAACTGCGATAAAGTGCAGGAATAGAGTGTAACGCGACTCACCTAAGTAACTTTCCGCGTGCTTCGGTATGAAATCCTCAGTTCTTAAGTTTCGCATTGAAGTGTTTACATTGAGTTATGACAGTGAGGGCGGATCGATCCGCTCAGTCTGATGCTGCACGTGGGTCTGTTGTGTTTGTTTTGCTCGCGGTGTTTCTGCACATCTCTCACCTGCTGCTCCTCCGGACACTTCTTCACATTCAGAGCGATTCAGATCTTCTGTAAAGGTAAATCTGTTGTTCTTACATCTCCAACTGAGAGACTTCATAGAGCTACATTGTGCTGCTAGTCGGTTGCAGACGGTGTTTGGAGGAGGGACTTGCTCTAGAAAGTATTTGATTGGATAAAATTTGTGTAGCGCAATATGAGCCATAAAAAACCAGATCTGTAAAGAGAATGTATGCATATTGAAAAACATAATTTCACTAGTATATAAATGGCTTTAAAGCTAATAGAAATATTAAAGATTTCAGGGAGTCATAATCTTGTTGATGAGAAAAATAGTTTGTCCATATTTTAATAGCGAATGAAGGCAGTCACATATATGAATATGAATGTTTACTTTCAGAATAACAAAATGAATCAGTAGGTGTTGTCACCTTTATAAGCTTTAAATGTATACCCCCCTTCTTTTCATATTATCAAGTGTATTATCATATTACTGTGGTGTTACTGTATTCATGTTTGTTAATAGAGAGGGTTGGGGTTTTGTGAAGCTCTGATGTTCTTCTGCAGCTTCATGTCTTTCCTAGCTGTGATTGTTATAATATGAGTAGAGCATGGATCTGTTTCAAAGGCATTTTTAGATGTAAAACTACATTAACGTTTCAGACAGTGTTGCTGCAGGCATTCAAGTAAAGTAAGTATCAACAAAATCCATGCTTGCACTGCAGAGGTGGCACAGAAGCGGTCTTCAAAATGGATTCATGCAGAAACAAAACGTGCGCTTCTGTTGTGGATGTGTTTTGAATTATTTTCATTGCCAAAAAAGCACAAAAACATACAATATTTTGTCTAAAATATGAGTCAGTTAATATTAACTTCTTGTTTGTTGAATTGTATAAAATCAATATCACTGTGCAGTCATGCTGATATTCAGGAAAACAGCACTCTTGCTCATCTGATATTGCTTAACTATTCTGAACGTTATAATTTTACTTATTTACACTTATTATATTTATTTGGAATTATTTGCACCCATATCTTGAATTTTGTGGGCAAATTAACGTGCAAACCCTCATTAATTTCTGACCTGCTCTCCTTTATTTTGAGGTGATAATAAGGTTCCACTCCGCCAGTGTCACCCAGTCGCTGTCTGTAAATGATTCTAGAAAACAGTGCTGAGTGTGAGTTTTCAGAAGGTTTACGTACAAAACTGGGACAAACATTGTGTCAGTGCAATAATTAATGATACACATATCTA